CACTTGCTGTTGGTCCAGAACACATGGACAAGAGGCCAGGAGGAGGCCTGCGGTCCCCATTTCCTGCAGCTCCCTCCAGCCGGGACACAGCTGAGCTCACTGTCTGAAGCAGAGGGACCTGCTACCTGCTACTCTCCCCTCTTAATGAGCGGGATCTCAGGGAGCAGAACCACAGGCCACTGGTACCAGGTGCTTCGAGCTTAAGTGCCTTCTATACAGGGGTACAGGGTAGCAAGGATCCTGAGGCACCTCAGTCCCTGGGGATCACTGGGGCTTACCCCCATCCCAGCTAGCCACCCTGAGGACACTTCTCACACACTGAGCAATCCCACCGTGTTCATGGTGCACAAGAATCCAAAGTAAGATCAGATGGATAGGTAGTCATGTTTTTTTTTATTTTTTTAAATTTTTTTCATAGTCATGTTTAGAGAAAACCTTTAGATACATTAGGGCTGGGTGTGGTGGCTCACACCTGTAATCCCAGCACTGTGGGAGGCAGAGACAGGTGGATCACCTGAGGTCAGGAGTTTGAGACCAGCCTGGCCAACATGGCCAAACACTGTCTCTACTAAAAATACAAAACTTATCCAGGCCTGGTGGTGCACGCCTGTAGCCCCAGCCACTCCGGAGGCTGAGGCACAAGAATTGCTTGAACCCGCGAGGCTCAGGTTGCAGTGAGCAGAGATTGTACCACTGCACTCTGGCCTGGGCGACAGAGCAATACTCCATCTCAAAAAAAAAAAAAAAAAAAAAAAAACTGCCAAATTTAACGTGTCTAAAGTTTTGTTTTCTTGTGTTTTGTTAATGAGACAGAATCTCTCTGTCCCTTAGGCTGGAGTGCAGTGGCACGATATTAGCTCACTGCAACCTCAACCTTTCAGGTTCAAGAGATTCTCATGCCTCAGCCTTCCAAGTAGCTGGGAATACAGGTGTGCGTAACCAGGCCTGGCTAATTTTTGTATTTTTAGTAGAGACAGGGTTTTGCCATGTTGGCCAGGCTCGTCTGGAACTCCTGACCTCAGGTGATCCACCTGCCAAAGGGCTGGGATTATAGGCATGAGTCATGGCACCTGCCTGACAAAGGTTAACCGAGTAAAGAATGATCCAAATATCAGGCAGCCCCTTAACCAGATAAGTTCAGAGAAGCTCTGGTATAGCCACGTGGTCAAAGATGAAGGACAGAAAACAGAAGTGAGGTCAGAAAGCCAGACTGGTTGCAGCTCAGCATTTGCTTTATTTGAACATGGTTTAAACAGTTGGCTGCCTTTGATTGGCTGAAATTCAGTGATTGACACATGAGTAGGTTGCAGTCTGTTTGTGTAGGAGTCCAGTTAATTTACAGTTCACTATGTATGGGAAAACCTTTAGGCCAAACCTAAAATATGTAAGGAGGCAGCTTTAGGCTAAACTTAATAGCAGGTAGGTAGACAAGTATATATAGATACACAGATACGTAGATAAATGGATGGATGGATAGATTACCCCATCTTGACAGCTGAAGAAACTGAGGTACAGAGGTTAAGTCAGCTCACTCATCCACAGATAAGACATTCAAAAAGTCTTCAACATCTGAATTGTGCATGATTTATATTCTGTCAGTTGGACTGACAAATCTGATGGTATACAGTAGGGGCAAAACAACTGCACCAAAGCTTAAGCCAACATGAAAATTCTGAGAACAGGATGGGTGCAGTGGCTTACGCCTGTAATCCCAGCACTTCAGGAGGCTGAGGTGGGCGGATCGCTTGAGCTCAGGAGTTTGAGACCAACCTGGGCAACGTAGCATGACCCCGTCTCAAAAAAGAAAAAAATAAGAAAATTTGGAGAACAGAGTTCCAGTGGTGGGCAAACTAAGTTCCTCCTGTGAAATGGCATCAGAAGAATGGGCTTGCTTGACTCTGAGGTAATAGATGGTAGATGGCATTTAGCTGGGTGCCACACAGGGAGAAGGGAAGTGTGATCATCAGGTCAGTATTCTGTTAGATGAATGAATGAATGGAGAGTATACGCTGAGCTCAGTGGCTATCGGTGGGCCTGAGGGTTGGGTGCATACACCCCACCACTGGGAGAGACACTGACTTCATCTTTATTTCCTCTAAAAAACAGGTCCCTCAAGTCAATCCTTGACAAGGACCACACCACTTCATTAGCCCAGAGAGGGGTTCCTCTAGATGACCCTGACAGGACAGCATGGCCAACAGGAAAGGACGGCATGCAATACGGCAGGGTAAGCACCAGCTCCGCCCATCCTCCCCACCCACTGCCGCCACCCCCAGGGCACCAAGTCCTACCAGATGTAGCAGTTAGCAGTGGGGCAGTGGTGATGCTCACCTTTCTGGAGCACCTACTCTGTGCCAGAATTCTAGACCTTCATTTTCTTAATCTTCACAACCCCTCTAAAAACTAGATTGTGATAGCTCTATTTTAGACATATAAAACGTCTTTTAAAATTTATTTTATTTTTGAGAGAGTGGCTCACTCACTCACCCAGCCTAGACTGCAGTGATATAATCACAGCTCACTTGCAGCCAAGTTACAAAACTTGTCTATGTCCTCATAGCTAGCCTGGGACTCAAATTTAGGCCAGTCTAAGTGTGAAACTTGTACTGTTTCTCCTCTTCTATACTGCACCGTACCTCCACTCGCCTACTTATCCATCCCCTCATGCACCTAGATGCTCGTCCACGCACCCACTCATCCATCCATCCTTCCCACCCACCCTCGTATTTATCCATCCATCCCATCCATTTACCCACCTACTCATCTATCCATCTGACCCACTCATCTATCCATCCATCCCATCCATCTACCCACCCACACATCTATCCTTCCCACCCACTCATTTATCTGTCATCCCATCCATTCACCCACCTACTCCTTTATTCAAACCATCCATCTAACCCAGCTAACAGTACATACCAACCATTCCCTCACCTATGCATCTGTTTAGCTGTTCATCCATTCATTGATCTTTCCATCCATTCATTCACTCATTCATCCACATACCTACCTAACTACCCACCCACTCGTTTATTCACCCACCCACCCCCTCATTCATCCAGCAAACACATACACAGTGTCCACTATGTGCCAGGCTAAGTCTAGTGGAGACTGGATACTAGTGAGGACAGATGGAGAGAAAATAATTAGGCTAATAAGCAAGCTATATCTGATAACAGTAAGTGCTATAAAGAAAATAAGAATAATCCCAACACTTTAGGAGGCTGAGGTGGGAGGATTACTTGAGGCCAGGAGTTCAAGGGTGCAGTGAACTATGCTCCTGCCACTGCAATCCAGCCTGGGTGACAGAGTGAGATCCTGCCTCTTAAAGAATCATGAAATGGAGACCAACTGAGGGTCACAGTTGATATGGATAGGATGCTCTGAGAACTTACATGTGAGCTTCCGCAGCAATGTGTGAAGGAACTAATCATACAAAGAGCAAGAGAAAGAGTACTCCAGGCAGAGGAAGCAGCAGGCACAATGGCTCCAAAGCAGTAAGTGGTTTAGGATGCCAGAGAAAGGGGTCCCATGAGGCTGGCAGGCAGTGAGTAGGGGCAAGATAAGCATCTTGGAATTTCAGTTTTTTTGTTCTGAGGTAGAGTTTTACTCTTGCCACCCAGGGTAGAGTGCAATGGCGCAATCTCGGCTTACTGCAACCTCCGTCTCCCGGATTCAAGCGATTCTCGTGCCTCAGCCTCCCAAGTAGCTGGGATTACAGGCACCCGCCACCATGCCTGGCTGAATTTGTATTTTTAGTAGAGATGGAGTTTCACCATGCTGGTCCAGGGTGGCCTCGAACTCCTGACCTTAGGTGATCCTCCCGCCTTGGCCTCCCAAAGTGCTGGGATTACAGGTGTGAATCACCTGCCTGTCTGGAATTTCTTCTAAGAGCAAGAGATGGCCGTGGACAGGTAAGTGACAAGATGTGATTAGATTGATGTTTGCAACAGTCCTTTCTGGCTGCAACTGTGCATGAACTTCAGATTTGTAGGAGCAGGACCCTAAACCAATGGCTCAACCTCTCTGTGCCTCAGTTTCCTTATCATGAGCATAGACGCATGCCTGACCCATGGTGGGTGTTCAAGAAAACCCTTTCTGGATGGGTGTGGTGGCTCACATCTGTAATCCAAGCACTTTGGGAGGCAGAGGAGGGAGGATTGCTTGAGGCCAGGAGTTTGAGATCAGCCTGAGCAACATAGCGAGATTCCATCTCTTTAAAAATACTAAAATTAACAAGGCATGGTGGTACAAACCCATAGTCCCGGCTGTTTGGGAGGCTGAGGTGGGGAGATTATTTAAGCCAAGGAGGTCAAGGCTGTAGTCAGCCATGATTGTGCCACTATACTACAGCCTGGGTGACATGGGCAATGAGGCAAGATCCTGTCATTCATAAATAAATAAATAAAGCTGGGCATGGTGGCTCATGACTGTAATCTCAGGACTTTGGGAGGTTGATGGTGGCAGATCATGTGGTCAGGAGATCAAGACCATCCCGGCTGACACAGTAAAACCCTGTTTCTACTAAAAATACAAATAAGTAGCCAGGTGTGATGGCATGTGCCTGCAGTCGCAGCTACGTGGGAGGCTGAGGCCGGAGAACCACTTGAACCTGGGGGACAGGTTGTAGTGAGCTGAGATCACGCCACTGCAGTCCAGGCTGGGTAACAGAGAGACTCAGTCTCAAAAAACAAAAAAAGAAAAAGAAAAAAAATTATGAATGCTAACTTATTGGGGATTGTGTAGGAGATGGGGGTTCTCAGGCTAGCCAGAGCTTGCTGGGGAGATGGAGCTCCTGGTGAGAATAATGGAGGGAGAACCCGTGGGGTCTTCGTGGGGGTTCCCTCTGCCCATTGGTGTGTTTTCTGAGAGCTTTGCCTGGCCTTGCCTCCACTCACCTCTTTCTCCAGGGGCTCTCTCTGGACAGAATCTTCAAACACCCCTGCCGAAGTGGCGCCTAGGAGACCTTATCTGGTGTTCCTCAGTCTACCCCCGCCTACCTGAGGTTCTCTCTGCCTTCTATGCACTCATGGTCCAGCTTATCAGGAAGGGCTGAGCCAGCTCCAGGGATGTCCAGACTTCATCTGAGTACTGGCTGAACGGGTCCAGGTTCAGGCAGAAGGAACCCGAAAACAAAACAGGATCCTGTTCAGAGAGAAGAGAGTGGCGGCATGTGATGCCTACGGCACACTGACATGGATGGAGAAGAGGTGAGACATAAAGACTTCTGGCCAGGAATGGCGAAGGTGGGGTTTCAGAGCTCCTTGAAATCATTATTTCTGGTGATGTTAATAATGGAGTAAAAGGCCAGGTACAGTGGTTCATGGCTGTAATCCCAGCACTTTGGGAGGCCAAGGTGGGCACTTCACTTGAGGACAGGAGTTCGAGACCAGCATGGCCAACATGGCGAAACCCGGTCTCTACTAAAAATAAAAAAATTAGCTGGGCTTGGTGGCATACACCTCTAGTCCCAGCTATTTGGGAGGCTGAGGCAGTAGAATCACTTGAACCCAGGAGACAGAGTTTGCAGTGAACCCAGATCAGGTCACTGCACTCCAGTCTGGGTGACAGAGTGAGACATCCCCCACCCCAAATATATTCCTTAAGAATGGAAGAAAAGTCAGTCTGGAGTACAGGAGTGTGGCAGAATAAGACAGATTTCCTTTCCATACCACTTCCTAGAGCCTTCAATGTGCATGTAGGTTGAGAACCTTTCAGAGGCGAGAGGTAAATCCTCATGGTCAAGTCCTGTGGATTTGTCCTCCAACTCCAAAAGAGAATCTTCTAAGAAACTTTAGAGAAGATTACACTAGAAGGCAACATATTAAGGAATCCACCTGCAGGGATTGATCTAGAAAATCCTTATTTTGGCCAGGCATGCTGGCTCACCCCTATAATCCCAGCACTGTAGGAGGCTGAGGCAGGCAGATCACTTGAAGTCAGCAGTTTGAGAATCAGCCTATGTAACATGGTGAAACCACATCTCTACTACAAATACAAAACTAGCCAGGCATGGTGGTACGCACCTGTAATCCCAGCTACTTGGGAGGCTGAGGCAGGAAAATCACTTGAACCCAGGAGGCAGAGATTGCAGTGAGCCGAGATTGTACCACTTCACTCTATCCTGGGAGAGACAGGGTGAGACTCTGTCTCAATTTAAAAAAAAAAAAAAAAATCATTTTTTCTTACCAAATACTGCATGTTCTCACTTTTAAGTGGGAAATGAACTCTGGGTACTCATGGATATACAGATGGGAACAACAGAACCGGAGCCTTCAAAAGTAAGGGGAGATGGAGGAGGGTAATCTCTCGGTTACTCTGTTCAGTATTTGGGTGATGAGATCCATAGAAGCCCAAGGGTCAACATTATACAATATACCCATGTAACAAGCTTACACATGCACCCCGTGATCTAAAATTGAAAACATTCTTATTTCTTGTCTAACTCTTAGAAGGGTTAGAGATTCTCAGTCTGACTCTGACAGCAGAGAGAGAAGTCAGAGTCTTTTTAGATTTTTCTAGATGCTCAGAAAACTACCAACTGCAGGGACAGGAAGTCAGGAGTGATACTCAGTGATTTTCCACATTGTTAATCATATGCAAAGAGGCAATTGAGGGAAGCAGCAGCATAGCCTAATCAATAATAATGAAGGCCAGGTGCGGTGGTTCATGCCTGCAATCCCAGCAGGGAGGCCACAGTGGGCGCATCATTTGAGCCCAGGAGTTTTCGAGCAGCCTGGGCAACATGGTGAAACCCCGTCTCCACAAAAAATACTAAAAATAAAAATAAATAAAAAAATTAACTGGGTGTGGTGGTATGTGCCTGTCGTCCCAGCTACTCAGGAGGCTGAGGTGGGAGAATTGCTTGAGCCTGGGAGATAGAGGTTGCAATGAGCCGAGATTGCATGGAGACAGATTTCAGAAAAAAAAAGACCCTGTTTCAGAAGAAAAAAAATGAAGTAGAGCCACATGTGTGTTTGTCCCAAAACTAAACATACATCACTGTTAGGGCATGCCACCCCTGGGTGGCACCCAGACCTTACCTGGGGGATGATGGTGATCTTGAAGCAGAGGCTGTGCAGGCCAATCTTGGTGGTGATGTCACAGATGATCACTCCTTTGGCAGACTCATTGATCTGAAAGAAGCCCAGGGTCAGCGATGACTTCCCAGCTCCTGTGTGCCACACGATCATCCTACAGGATAGAAGGGACTGGGTGTGGTGGGAATGCTGGCATCTGGACTTGTCCCTGCCCCACAGTGCCCTTATCTCTGCCCTACCTCAGGCATCAGTCATCTGGTCAACCCAGCTCCACACCCCCTCCCTCACCCACTGCCCAGAGACTCTCCTTTATTAAGGTGTTTTGGCCAAAGTTCAAAAAGGATGCTCTTCCCTTTGCCAGACTCCCAAAAGGAATTCCTCAGGTTTTTATAGGTTATTAGAGACCTCAAAAGAGATACACAAGCAGCAGAAGGAATTTCCAACAAAGCTCTGTTTGTTTCGACTCAATAACTATTAACTAATAATTACGTATTTCCTCATTTCACACCTCTGATGGTGAGTTTCCCATCATGAGCTGTTGAAACACCTGAAAGATTCAAGCAGATGTTCCATGCCCTTTGCCATGACCTGATCTCCATACATGTTCCCTTGAAGAAACTAGGTTCTCCAGTTAATAGCCAATAATGACATTCCTCATCTCCAGTTCTCCCTGGGCTCTTGAGAAATGGGCTTCTTCTACCCTCCTACAGAGGTGTCACAGAGCAGCATGTGTGCAAAAATTCTCATGACATAAGCCATAAAGACTTAGTAAGGGCCAGGCGCAGTGGCTCATGCCTGTAATCCCAGTATTTTAGGAGGCCAAGGCAGGTGGATCCCCTGAGTCGGGAGTTCAAAACCAGCCTGGCCAACATGGTGAAACCCTGTCTCTACTAAAAATAAAAAAATAAGCCAGGTATGGTGGCATGTACCTACAGTCCCAGATACTCAGGAGACTTAGGGAGGAGAATCACTTGAACCCAGGGGGATTGAGGTTGCAGTGAGCCAAGATCACGCCACTGCATTCCGGCCTCGGCAACAGAGTAAGACTCTGTTTCAAAAACCACGCCCCCCCCCACCCCCGCAAAAAAAAACAAAAGCTGCTTCCAGGGTCCAGGCATGGTGGCTGACTCCTGTAATCTTAGCACTTTGGGAGTCTGAGGTGGGCAAATCGCTTGAACTCAAGAGTTCCAGACCAGCCTGGGCAACATAGTGTGATCCCATCTCTACAAAAAATACAAAAATGAGCCAGGCATAGTGGCACACGCCTAAGAGTCCCAATCACTTGTAGTCTCCCGACTTGGGAAGCTGTGGTTGCAGTGGGCTGACATCACACCACTGCACTCTAGCCTGGGAGACAGAGAGACCCTGTTTCAAAAAAAAAAAAAAAATCTTCCAAAACATATCTGTGGGGCTCATTTAGTCTTCGGGCTATCAGTTCACCTAAAGCTTTCACTTGTACAAGCTGGATGTGCTCTAACAGCTTTTACTGCCACAATCCACTCCCTCCCCCCGCAACAGCCATTCCAGTGGAGGTGTGGCGCTGTGACAGGGCAGATGCCGCAAGTAGGTTCGTCCACCTGGTGGCACCCTGTGCCTGACTGGGAATAGGGGGTGATGTGTACCCACCTTTTATCCCCCATTGATGTTGACACTGATGTGCCTGGGAACAAAATCCAGGTCTTCTCAGCAGCACGGGCAGGAGTTCCAGAATTCCACTTGGCCCACCTGGAGCCAGCTGCTGGGTGGAGCTGTTTCCTGGATTTGCCAGGGTACCTTCGAGCACAGCAGAGGGAGAGAATAAGGAATTCCCAGTCCATCCTAGAAAGCTGTGACTCCCCCAACCTCCCTTCCCACTCACTCACTCTGCTGCCCAAAGTGACCTCCCAGGCCTCAGCACTGGGGGTGTGCTCTCCTGGAATGCTCTTCCCTATATGACCTCCTCACATCCTGCAGATCTGATTGATGCGGAGGGCTCTGAGCCCCGCATCTCTCTGTCCCCTCCCACACTGCCTTCTCCTACAGAGAACTGCCTGCCTCCAGCCCTCTCCACACTCATATACTCGAGTGTATTCTGTCTCCAATACTTACTGCACCAACCACTCAGTGAGGACAGGCTCTAATTGTTCACCACTGTATCCCAGGGCTCAGAGCACATAGTAGGTGCTCAATAAATATTTATGGACATAACAAGCGTGACACAGTTGCTAATATAGAAGATAAACCAGTGGTAGAAGGCACAGAAACAGAGGGAACATCATCTCTCAGTAGGTCAGCAATACCCGTTGTAAAGCTGTCATCTCTCTGTAATAGATAATGGCTGATTAGATCATAGTTGTTCGCTTCTGTCTGCCAGAATTAATCTGATGTTCATGTTCACCTTTCTCTTAAAATCGTACAACTGACTTGTATCAAAATTGTTTTTTATTTTTGTGAAACAAGAGTCTCACTCTGTTACCCAGGCTGGAGTGCAGTGGCATGAATCTCAGCTCACTGCAACCTCCACCTCCCAGGTTCAGGTGATTCTCCTGCCTCAGACTCCTGAGTAGCTGGGATTACAGGTACCTGCCATCACACCCAGCTAATTTTTGTATTTTTTGTAGAGACAGGTTTCACCATCTTGGCCAGGATGGTCTTGGACTCCTGACCCACTTCAGCCTCCCAAAGTGCTGGGATTACAGGTGTGAGCCATGGCGCCTGGCCACAGATATTGTTCTTTATATGAACATAGTAGGTGAACTTTTTAAAATGTTTTCTAACAAAATATAATGTTTTCCCCAGATTTTTTTTTAACCTCAAGGAAATAACAGCTTGTCAGAGACTTCCTATAGAAGTAGTAATTTTTTAGGTAACTATCATTAGGTTGGATAAGGCAATAGATAATTTCAAAATAGCAAGCAGTAGTACATCTTACCCATATCTTTAGGCTGGTGCCAGGTTTTAAGGGTACAGACTGGTCCTAGGTATTTGCGGAACACAATACAGATATTTTAAAAAGTGATTCTGTAAAATCTACATTATGTTCTCTGTTTCTCTAAAGTGTGTGTGATTTGTTCCTCACACTTGTGAGAAAAAAAGAAGAAAACAGTAACATAAATCTTGAAGTATGTTTCAATGTTGGGTGAATTTTTGTTTTTAGGCACCAACAAAATTCGTTTGATAAAAAAATTTAAAAAATATTTATGGATGGAGTCAATGAAATGAGTGGTCTTCTCTGGAAAGGCACAAGAATAAAAGCGAGTTACCCTAGCTGCCCACCCTGGCAGGAAGGCAAGGATAAAAGCAGGGGCAGTATCACAGTGCCTCGTCATCCTTACAGCAATCCCATATGGAGGGTCCTTCAGTTATTCCCAATTTACACACAAGGGGACTGAGACAGAGAGAAGGGAGGTAGCTTGCCAAGGGACACACAACCCTGCTGAAAAGCAGTCCAGTTCGGCATTTCCTGAGGCTCACAGCTGGATGTGGTGTAGGCCAGGTTCAGTGGTTTTAGCCTCAGAGAATGCACATCCCTCCAGGGCACACACAGATGGGAAGCAGGCTGCAGAGCACATGGCCAAGCTCAGAGACATGGCAGAGGGCATGTAACAAGAAAACATCGGGCACCTTTTAGGCAAGATATTCAGCCCTTTTGTGGATATGCTATAAAATAACAGTGTTGCCGGGCATGGTGGCTCATGCCTGTAACCCTAGCAGTTTGGGAGGCAGAGGCAGGGAAATCACTTGAGGTCAAGGTTTCAAGACCAGCCTGACCAATATGGTGAAACCCTGTCTCTACTAAAAACAAAAATTAGCTGGGCATGGTGGCAGGAGCCTCTAATCCCAGCTACTCAGGAGGCTGAGGCAGGAGGATCACTAGAACCCAGGAGGCAGAGGTTGCAGTGAGCCAAGATCATGCCACTGCACTCCAGCCTGGGTGACAGAGAGTCTGTCTCAAAAAAAAAAAAAAAAAAAAAAAAAAGAATATTCTGCATATGAGTTTCTCTTGCACAACTTCAAAAGTGTTTTAAATGAACATGTGGATAACACCCCCCCCCACCATGGGCACCAAGGAAGGAGAACTGTCCAGACCCCAGGCACAATCAGTGCCTGAAGAATATCTTACAGTGTTATTGTTCAGCTGTTTCCTTTATATAATCCTTTATATATAATCATATATTAGTTTACAGAATTAGTGCCTGAAGTATAACTTACTGCTTACATGTGTCTAGCTTATATTAATACTTATAGGTAGCATACTTAGTTCTATATAATTTTTCTATATAATCATATAATGGAGGTAGTCGGAGCTGTACTGACACATTTAGTGCTGATTTATGTAATTCTTCCATATAACCACATAGTAGTTTGTAGCAGGAATGCCTGGAGCAGTCACAGAACAGAAGCAGTACGTGCGAAAACGGCCAGACCAGGACAAGAACCAAAGACCCAGGCGGTGGCGTCCCTGCCTGAAAAGACATATACTGTATGGCAGGCTTGGAGCAAGAGCCTCTCCTCCTGATAAAGGAGTTGTAGTACCTTGCATCCAGTTCCTGTGGAAAGTGGGCCTCAGGCCTGAGATCCTGGAAATAACCGAGGGAGAAGCCGCCCTCTGGTATGACCAGTCACGGCGGCTGTACACCCTGTCAGTCTCTTCTCGCTTCTGTGCTAGCGCAAATCATCCTCCCATAAATATCTTAAGAGAAGAGCACGAGTTCGTCAGCTCCCACTGCATTAAACTTACAGTATCCTCCTATTAGAAATCCTTTGAAGTCTCCAGCCCCCAGATAAGAAGTGTTACGCACAACACCTGTTGTACACAGCCCACTTCCTTGCCTTGGTGACCTAATTGGGTCTTTTTCTGTACATGACTCTCTACTGCACACAGCATGGCCCCCTACTGCACACAGCCCACCTGTCTGCCCAAGTGACATAACAGGGTGGCCCCCTTGCTTGTGACTCACGTGATTATGTATGCCCTATTACCAAGCCTATAGATGATGACTTCACTACGACCCTGCCTCCTAATTCTACCTAATAAATACAGGTGCTTCAGAGCACTGGGGAGCCCTTGCCGATCTCCACTCACAGGTGGTGTGGCCTCCTGAGTCCAGGTGCTCTTAACCAGTTCCTCAGTGTCCTGTCTCTTTACTTCTCGGATCCTGCACCTCAGCACAGCGTAAGAGACACCCCACGACCCTTTGGGGCCCCATGGCCCTACATGAACACATCTTTATGCTATGCCATGAAGTCAGCAATAAAATACATTAAAACAATTAATGTTTAAACATATAAACGACTATATACAAGAAACTTATTATACTTAAAGGCATTTATTATCCAACACTGAAAAAGTAACATCTCCAATCAATGGTAACAGCTATAACTGAGGACAGACATTATTTCAGGAACGTACATGTAGTCACTTTTCATCCTAACATTCATCTGACAAAGTAGGTTTCTTTGTTTTTTTGAGACAGGATCTCTCTCTACCACCCAGGCTGGAGTGCAATGGCACCATCATGGCTCATTCCACAGTGACCTCAGCCTCCTGGGCTCAAGTGATCCTCACACCTTGGCCTCCCAAGAAGCTGGAACCAAAGGCATGCGCCACCATGCCTGGTTAATTTTTGTATTTTTTGTAGAGACAGGGTTTTGCCCTGTTGCCCAGGCTGGTCTGAAACTCCCGAGCTCAAGAGATCTGCCAGGTGTCAGCCTCCCAAAGTGCTGGGATTACAGGTGTGAGCTAGGCCCTAAGTAGGTGTAAAAATCCCTATTTAACATAAGAAATTGAGGCACCATGAGGCTAAGGCCACAAGTCTAAGAACTGGGAGAGATGGAAGCCCCCCCAGATCCGTTAGCTTTGAGCTCAGTATACCAAGCCAAGGAGGCAGGGAGGGCTAACTTAATGTTAGCTGGCAGGCTGGTATAAGTTTGCAGCAGAATTTTCATTGATTTCTGGGAAAATGGGGAAAAGAAAGAACACAAAAGTAAACTTTTTTTCTTTTTTTTTTTTTTTGAGACAGTTTTACCCTTGTAGCCCAGATGGAGTGCAATGGTACCATCTCTGCTTACTGCAACCTTTGCCTCCTGGGGTCAAGTGATTCTCCTGCCTCAGTCTTCAGAGAAGCTGGGATTATAGGTGCATGCCACCACACCCAGTTAATTTTATATTTTTAGTAGAGACAGAGTTTCACCAGGTAAGCCAGGCTGGTCTGAAACTAAACTTTTAAAAATAACTAAATGATTCCACTTAAAGATCTTTTATTCTGGCCAGGTGCAGTGGCTCATGCCTGTAATCCCAGCACTTTGGGAGGCTGAGGCACGCAGATCATGAGGTCAAGAGATCAAGACCGTCCTGGCCAACATGGTGAAACCCTGTCTCTGCTGAAAATACAAAAATTAGCTGGGCGTGGTGGCGCACACCTGTAGTCCCAGCTACTCAGGGGGCTGAGGCAGAAGAATCACTCAAACCAAGGAGATGGAGGCTGTAGTGAGCTAAGATCATGCCACCGCACTCCAGCCTGGTGAGAGTAAGACTCCATCTCAAAAAATTAAAAAATAAAATATATTATGAAAGACTCTGTTCTTTCGAACTGTTTGAGTAAAAATATCCTTTTTTTAAATGAAACGATGGTGAAAGGAGATGGTGGTGTGTTATTTGTTTTTATTGGCTGTACCTGGTAGAAATAAAAAATCAAGCCAGGCATGGTGGCTCACAAGGTCAAAAGACCGAGACCATCCTGGCCAATATGGTGAAACCGTATCTCTACTAAAAATACAAAAATTAGCTGGGCATGGTGGCACATACCTGTAATTCCAGCTACTCAGGAAGCTGCTGCAGGAGAATCACTTGAACCCAGGAGGCAGAGCCTGCAGGGAGTTGAGATCATGCCACTGCACTCTAACCTGGCGACAGGGCAAGACTCTGTCTCAGAAAAAAAAAAAAATTAGCATTTCTATTGTAGCCTCCTAATTTTGGGGAAATATTTCTTTAGAAATCTCAAAGTCTGGCCCTTTACATCATAATGATCCCAAAACAATAGGAGACTTTATACAGAGATAACACATACCCCTCAAGATTCTCTCTTTAACCTTTACCTTATTCTGTTTGGATTAGGACATTTGGGGATTGTGAAATGAGAATAAAGTTGAGTATAAGCAATCCAAAACCACGTGCTGACCCTGGTTCCTAGAAGAGAACTTTCTTCAGAATTTTTTTCATCTGTTAACATTTCTCTGGGCTCAAACATTTTTTGTTTGAGATGGAGTTTCACTCTTGTTGCCCGGGCTGGAGTGTAGTGGTGCGATCTCAGCTTACCACAACCTCCGCCTCCCAGGTTCAAGTGATTCTGCTGCCTCAGCTTCCTGAGTAGCTAAGATTACAGGTATGTACCACCACATCCAGCTAATTTTGTATTTTTAGTAGAGACGGGTTTTCTCCATGTTGGTCAGGCTGGTCTTGAACTACTGACCTCAGATGATCCACCCACCTCGGCCTCCCAAAGTGCCAGGATTACAGGCGTGAGCCAGGTGACTTCAAACTTTCTTATGTATTTATTTGAGACAGAATTTCACTCTTGTTGTCCAGACTAGAGTGCAATGGTGTGATCTCGGCTCACTGCAACCTCTGTTCAAGCAATTCTCCTCCTGCCTCAGCCTCCCAAGTAGCTGGGATTACAGGTGCGCACCCCCACGCCCAACCACCTAATTTTGTATTTTTAGTACAGACGGGGTTTCTCCATGTTGGTTAAGCTGGTCTCGAACTCCTGACCTCAGGTGATCCACCTGCCTTGGCCTCCGAAAGTGCGGGTATTACAGGCATGAGCCACCAGAGCCAGCCCCGGGCTCAAACTTTCTTCTCCTAAGAGTCATATCTCTCAGGAGTACTGCTACATGGCAATCACTGCTCAAAAGAAACTAACTTGAGGTGTCCAGTAATCAGCTTTCATTTAAAGTCTCTTTCAGCTTGACAAAATAAAAACTTTCAATGTGTTGTCTACCTACTTCCAAAAGAAAATTAGTCTATATATGTACATACACATGTGATTATATATGTATATATACATGTGATTTTGATCAGGCTGTTTATAAACTATTTCCAAAATAAGTTGACCTGTAAATTCATTTATTAAATGAGTTTATTAACTACTTGATTTTTGCAAGTAACAGACTGATCAAAATGAACAAATTTCTTAAAATAATTTCATCATATAGTTAGCAAGTTATTTACTCCTTATTAGCATATCTTATTTTTACCTATCTTTTAACAAGCATCTAAGTTAAACTATTTTATGTTCACAGCTACACACTGAAACACTTTCAGTCACAACATATTAAATTCACATTTAAACTATAAAGAGATCCAGTTACCTTTAGTCTTACATGTACTTACATACGCTTTTAATATACCTCCTAATGTTTTATGATGCACACACAGCTCTTGCAAGATATATAACTATGAGAATATTTAGAACGTATGCTTATTAAATGGTTCAAAGGTCTGTTCTTCAAAAAAAAGTCAATTTTAAGAACTTAAGCATAAAGTACTCCTTCCATGCCCCATATTAAAAGATCCATTTATTTTAGACGACTTGTTTCAAAAAAAATCTAAAATTGGTAATAATTCTGCTTAAATTCCATATTAACCTAGGATCAAAAGTTATTTTTAGTTCTTGTTTTTTAAATACTTGAAATGTGCTGCCGCATAATGTTTTCCTTACATATTTCTTCAATCAACTAACTTCAGGTGGAAGGCACTTACGAGTTTAAAAGTCCTTTCCCAATGTGGAAATAAAAATGGTGCATGAAAGACACTCAACGTTTCTCAAGGGGTATCTGAGAGTCTAATCAGCCTATTACCTTGGTTCGGAATAACCACCAACAATTGTGAGCTTTTTGTCACATCTATGTATTTTCCCCTGTAAACTAATACCTATATTTTAAATGCATTTTCAAAATATTTCATTTGGCCATGTGATAATTATTTTCCCTGTAAAAAGCTACAGGATTTTCGTTTAAGAGCTAATGAGCTAGAGTATCTAGTCCATGAGAAGGTTAAGTGGAAAGAACGGCACCCTGAAGTTTGTAACCAATAATAAGACAAACTCCAGTGCTACCTTGTTCATATAATCAACAATGTGTGAGTCGAAATAAATTAGTGAGCTATATACATTTCTGTCTACATACCAATTTACCAATCAACAGGAGGGGAAGAAATTGCTCAAATGTGAGTACTATTAACAAACATCTAAATCTTAGATATAGTCTCTATTAAAATCGTAACCTATCAATTCTGAAATCATTGTTTTTAATCCTGCCCCCCCTAAAAATAACCAGCCACCTGTAAAATGTAAATTCTTCCCTTCTTCAAAGTAACTTGCCTAGGAAAATTTAATGCCTTAGAATAAAACGTTAACAGACAAACTAATTACAACATTAAAATAAATAAATAAAACGATCAGTAACACAAACCAATCGCTCAGGTTTAGCAAAGCATGTGTTTTTAATCTGTTGTGAGTATCCTATTACACTAATAAGCAACAACGTTTAAAAGTCATCCTAACGCATAAAACACCACCATACACGTAAAATACTTGTCCTTTACTCCAATGAAGCTTAAACTCAGACCCAAACTCAGACCATTTCCCCTTCCTGGCACACTGAAATATACGAGGGGAAATCCAAGAAATTAGATTTGTTAAGTGCCAGTTTCTTCTTCCAGAGTAGGGTCAAACTCGTGTTTGCCCGCAAATGCCACCGTCCCAGTAAGGCTGCAAATTCTCACTAGCGCTGGAGTACAAACAAGTTTGATAACGGAAACTCCCGTCCCAGCACCAGGAAGACAATGGGAAACGCAACCCCCCTGAGTCCGCGCTGGCCCTAAAGCTTCGGCTGCAGCGATGGGGGGACAAGAAGTGGCCGCTGGCCTCGCAGGTGCGGCAGACAGGGTCCCACACCCCCGACCCGCTAACCCGGAAACCTGTTAGCCTGGCCGGGACCCTCTGCAGACGCTCGCGCTCCAGCCCAGCGCGGACCCCGCCGGGCTCGGGTTCTGACCCCGTCCGTTCCCCCGCGGTCGGGTCCCACCGGCCCAGGTCCGAGCTCCCGCCGCGCGCTCGCCACCCCCAGCCTCCGCCCTCGCCCAGCGCCGCTGCCCCCCGACCACCCCCGAGCCGCTACCTGGAGGCAAGGGCAACGAAGCACTTCACCCAGGACCCCAGGTCGCAGAGGGCCCGGTGCTCAGAGTCTCGCTCCTCCTCCCGCTCCACGTGGTAGGCTAGACGGAGAGTAGGATCCCGGCGGCGCGCACGGCTTACCCGGCCACCCGCTCCCACCGCGGCACCCACACTCTCGAAGACAGGCGCCTCCATCTTAACGCTCCGCGGCCGAAGCCTCCTTCCGCCTCCACCTGAGCCGCCGCCGTCCGTCGGCCCGACCCAGTCCGCGCCCCATTGGCGGGGTCTTTTGCTCCGGGCCCCGCCCCCACAGGCGCGCGGCCCAACCGCCGCGAAAGGAGGCGGGCGAAGCGGGGAAGGCGCACACGGGAACGGAGGGAGGGGAAGGAGGGCGCAACCGCCGAGGAGGCTGGATTGGCCGGCCGAGACTGAGGCGGTGCGTCCCGGCGCGTGAAGGGCGGGGCCCGGGGTGAGGGGCGGGGCCGCAGGTGAGGGGCGGGGCCCGGGCGGGAGGGACTTAAGGGAGCCGTTGCCAGGACCGCTTAGGAAGGATCTTACTGTGGGTGGCTGGGTGAATCCTTGGCCCCTCCCTCTGGGATGGCAATCAGTTGCCATCCTTTTCCCCTTTTCCGTCGTTATCACTTCGTATTTCTGACACAATCCAAATTACCCCTGGTCAATGCTTGGGGCTCCTGAGCCACCCTCCTATAACCTGATCTTCCCACCGTCACCTCCAGGCACTTTGTGTTCAACCTGTGCAAAACTTCCTGGACTGCAGTTAGGGTGCTCCCAGCAGCCATTGTGCCATGAGAGTACAATGAACAAAGGAGGAACCAGGCGAGCTGATCCCAGATCAGTTCCATAACACAAGAAGCAGATGCCAAGGTGGAATTTGATGTGCAAGAGATTGACAGGAAAAAGAAAAAAGCCTGTGCAGAATAACGGAAAGGGGGAGCAAGAATAAGCATGGATGGGCCGGGTGAGGGGGCTCACGCCTGTAGTCTCAGCCCTCTGGGAGGCCAAGGCAGGCAGATCACCTGAGGGCCAGACTTTAAGACCAGCCTGGACAACATGGTGAAACCCCATCTCTACTAAAAATACAAAAATTAGCCTGGCATGGTGGTGGGCAGCTGTAATCCCAGCTACTTGGGAAGCTGATGCAGGAGAATTGCCTGAACTCAGGAAGGGGAGTTTGCAGTGACCTGAGATCATACCACTGCATTCCAGCCTGGGTGACAGAATGAGCGCGACTCTGTCTCAAAAATAATAATAATAAAAATTCTAAAAAATAAAAGAAGTTTTAAAAGGCATGGATGGACACAGTGGCTCATGCCTATAATCCCAGCACTTTGAGAAGCCAAGTCAGGAGGATCACTTGAGGCCAGGAGTTCAAGATCAGCCTGGGCACATGGCGAAACCCTGTGTCAACAAAAAAAAAAATAAAATTATTAGCTGGGCATAGTGGTATGCATCTGTAGTCCTAGCTACTGGTGAGGCCGAGGTGGGAGAATTCCTTGAGCCCAGGAGGTCAAGGCTACAGTGAGCCATGATCGAGCTACTGCACTCCAAATCCTATCTAAAATAAAATAAAATAAGCAAAAAGAATATTCATGGAGAGCATACTGACCACAATGCAGGTCTGACAACTGTTTGAGAGCTCTGCAGAGAGCCCAGAGCAGACTGTCCACATAGGAGCAGTTTGTAAGGCAGGAATGGCCTGAATCTGGAATCCCTGGCATGCAGAGTCATTGGCTGGCGCAGCCTGGGAAGAGCATGCCTCAGGATGAAGCCTGTGTGGGCCCAAGTGTGTAGCAGATGGTATCTTGGCCAGACCTCTTAGACCTCTTGCAGTAGGCTCTCTCTCTTTTTTTTTTTTAAATAGGGTCTCACTCTGTTACCCAGGCTGGTGTGCAGTGGCACAATCTCAGCTCACTGCAACCTCTGCCTCCCAGGTTCAATTCCCCTGCCTCAGTCTCCCTAGTAGCTGGAACTACAGGCGTGCGCCACCGCGCCCGGCTAATTTTTGTATTTTAATAGATACAGCATTTCACCATGTTGGCCAGGATAGTCTCGATCTCCTGACCCCGTGATCTGCCCACCTCAGCCTTCTAAAGTGCTGGGATTACAGGTTTGAGCTACCGCACCCAGCCAGTATGCTCTCTTACAGATGCACATCTGTAATCTCACCACTTAGGGATGCTGAGACAGGTGGATCACTTGAGGTCAGGAGTTTGAGACTGCCCCGGACAACATGGTGAAACCCCGTCTGTACTAAAAATACAAAATTAGCTAGGCATAGTGGTGGGCACCTGTAGTCTGAGCTGCTTGGGAGGCTGAGGCAGGAGAATTGCTTGCGGCCAAGAGGCAGAGGTTGCACGGAGTCGAGATGGCACCACTGCACTCCAGCCTGGGCAACAGAAGAAGACTCTGTCTTTAAGAAAATAAAGTAAATAAAATAAAATGAGGCCAACTGAGTGTGTTCCCAGCACCACCACCACATTACCAAACAGTTTTCCAAAGTAGGTGTACCGATGTAAACTCCCATTAGAGCTACATGAGTCTGTTACACCACATCCTCCCAGTCATTCGCATAGTTAGTGCTTTCAGCTTTAGGATTTTTGGTGACTCTACAGAGGGCTCTCATTGTAGGTATTTTGTTTTTTTGTTTGTTTTTGTTTTGTTTTTTGTTTTTAGGACGGAGTCTCACTCAGTTGCCCAGGCTGGAGTGCAGTGGCGTGATCTCGGCTCACTGCAACCTCTGCCTCTCAGGTTCAAGCAATTCTCCTGCCTCAGCCTTCCAAGCAGCCATCACATTTGGCTAATTTTTTAGTAGAAGTGGGGTTTCACTGTGTTGGCCAGGCTGGTCTCAGGCGCCTGATCTCAAGTGATCCACCTGCCTCAGCCTCTCAAAGTGCTCGGATCATAGGCATGAGCCACCATGCCTGGCCCCAGCATATATATTTTGAATGAATGAATGAATGAATCAACAGTCAAAAAATGTTAGCTGTCAGTATCTTTGTACAAACAATAGGCCCACAGCAAACATCTTTTCCCAAATAAAAAGGAAGTCCTCACAACAGAGATTATTTCACCACTCCAGAAAAAAAAAAGATGAAAAGTTTTTAAAAAGTGCTTTGTAGGCTGGGCACGGTGGCTCATGCCTGTAATCCCAGCACTTTGGGAGGCCAAGGCAGGCAGATCACCTGCGGTCAGGAGTTCGAGACCAGCCTGACCAACATGGCGAAACCCCGTCTCTACTAAAAATGCAAAATTAGCCGGATGTAGTGGCGCATGCCTGTAATCCCAGCTACCCAGCCTGGGCAGCATAGCAAGTCCCTATCTCTACAAAAAATAAAAATACAAAATTAGCCAGGCATGGTGGCACACGCTGTAGTCCTAGCTGTTCAGGAGGATGGGGCAGAAGGATTGCTTGAGCCCAGGAGTTCAAGGCTACAGTGAGCTATAATTGAGCCACTGCACTCCAGCCTGAGCCACAGAGAAACACCCTGTCTCTAAAAAAAAAAAAAAAAAAAAAAAAAAAAAAAAAAAAAAAAAAAAAGACATCTTATTTTGTCCTCTGTTCTCTGAAGTCCTTCTGCCTTCCTGAGGATGTCATTGTCCACATGGACGAGCATGCAGTTCGCCTGACTCACCATCCCATGTCTTCCTCAGCTCTCATGACCTTTGCTTCCACTCCCCTTAAGCTGCTACATGAATGGCTCTTGTGATCTTTTGGACAGCTAGATTTCTGAAACCTTAAACTCTAACGTTCTTTCTACCTCACACCTGTAATCCCAGCACTTTGGGAGGCTGAGGTGGGTGGATCACTTGAGCTCAGGTGTTTCAGACCAGCCTAAGCAACGTGGCCACACGCTATCTATACAAAAAAGTACAAAAATTTAGCCAGGTTTGGTGGCATATGCCTGTAATCCCAGCTACTCAGAAAGCTGAGGCAGGAGAAATTGCTATTCAGAAAGCTGAGGCGGAGGTTTTGGCGAGCCAAGATTGTGCCATTATACTGCAGCCTGAGCAACAAGAGTGAAACTTCATCTTAAAAAAAAAAAAAAAAGAAAAAATTTAGCCAGGCATGGTAGTATGTACCTGCAGTCCCAGGTACTCAGCAGTCTGAGGTGAGGATTGCTTGAGCCCAGGAAGTCAAGGCTACAGTAAGCCATGATCACACCACTGCACTCTAGCCTGGGTGACAGAGTAAGACCCTGTCTCAAAAATAATAAAAAAAAAAAAAAAGTTGATTTTTTTTTTTTTCTTTTTGAGACAGAGTCTCACTCTGTCACCCAGGCTGAAGTGCACTGAAGTAATCTCAGCTCACTACAACTTCCACCTCCTGGGTTCAAGTAATTCTCCTGCCTTAGTCTCCTGAGTAGCTGGGATTTACAGGTGTGCACCACCATGCTTGGCTAATTTTTGTATTTTTAGTGGAAATGGGGTTTCACCCTATGGGCCAGGCTGGTCTCAAACTCCTGACTTCAAGTGATGTGCCTGCCTCAGCCTCCCAAAGTTTTGGGATTACAGGCATGAGCCACTGTGCTTGGCCAAAAGTTGAATTTCTTTCCCCCCCCACCCCGAGATGGAGTCTCACTCTGTCAGCCAGGCTGGAGTGCAGTGGCCTGACAGCAGCTCACTGTTAACCTCCGCCTCCCTGGTTCAAGCGATTTTCCAGCCTCAGCCTCCCAAGTAGCTGGGATTACAGGTGCATGTCACCACAGGCCGGCTAATTTTTGTATTTTTAGTAGAGACAAGGTTTTGCCATATTGTCAGGCTGGTCTCGAACTCCCAACCTCAGTTGATCCACCTGCCTTGGCCTCCCAAAGTGTTGGGATTACAGGCGTGAGCCACCGCACCAGATCAGTTGAATTTTTTAATAAATAAAACAGAAAAAAATATTTGATGTATTTAGAGGGTATGGGTGCAGGTTTTCTTATTATGGAGTGCTGAGGTCTGGGCTTTGAGTGTAGCCATGATCAAATAGTGAACACTGTACTCAGTAGGAGAATATTCACTCTTCCACCCTCCTCCCATCTTTTGGAATCTTCAGTCTTTTTTTTCCTCCTGTGTACCTATTTTTTAACTCCCACGCGTGAGAACAGTCAGTATGTGACTTTGTTTCTGAGTGATTTCACTGAGGATAATGGCCTCCAGTTCTATCCACACTGCTGGAAAAGACATGATTTCATGACATGATTTCATTCTTTTTGTGGCTGAGTCACGTTCCATGGTGTGTATGTACCAC